TCTAAAGAGACAAATTCACAGTTAAGTGATACTCTGAGCATAATGCATTGTGCATAGTGGCCACTCAATAGAAGGTAGTTATTATCAATTATTATGAGGCAATTAAATGTTGGAAAGGCTCACTTAGAGTCAATCAACTTTTTTTTTTAAGTTTACTTATTTCTTTTAGTAATCTCTATACCCAATATGGGTCTCAAACTCACAACCCCAAGATCAAAAGTCGCATGCTCCATCGACTGAGCCAGCCAGGTGCCCTTCAATCAGCTTTTATATCGAGGTTAGAAGAGAGATCCCCATGTCCTGTGCTAGCCACTGAAATAAATTAATCAGATAGGATCTCAGTCCTTGAGGAACTCACAATCAAATATGTGAAAGAGACACTAACAAATAATACATAGTATAGTAGATGAAAGAGCAGAATTGTGTGCAAAGTATTGGGACAACAAAGAGATTAATTCTGCCTGGACAAATAGCAGATAAGTCATACCTCCTCCATCACAGTGACTGGTCTTTGCCTGCATGTGAATCCAAAAGCTGTTGAGATTTTAGAAGTATATTTTTAAATAGAAAAAAAATCTGTCAAGTTCCTAGTTTGTGTCAGGTCAGGTCCTTTCAGGTACATGGTTTCATTCAACACTCCCAATAACTGTGTGAAGTTGAGAATCACTCACTCATTTCATAGATGAGGAACAGAGGCACGAAGAAGTTACCTAGTTAACATAAGTCACACTGCAAGTGATGACCTATCTGATTTCAGCACCTGTGTTCCTTCTGTTGCACGGGACTGCAACTATAGGTTTCCAAAAGGGCAGAATGGCTAGGCCAGAGAGTTTCTTTCCTTGTCTAGTCCAGATAAATGCAACCGGGTAAGACACAAACCCATCTTTGTGTTGTTCATACACTCTGAAGAGGGAGAAAGCTGAGGGGAAGAGAGATAAGAAGGAAGAAAAGGATGATTAATTCTGTTAGCACAGCACAAGGATTCTCAAGACAACTAGAATACTTTAAAAGGTCCGGAATCTAGGACCCAAAAGGAAGGTGAAATCAACATATATGGATGTAAAGACACCATAGCAATATCTTTTAATGTGTCAGAATGGATATTATTGTTGCCAAGCTCTGCTGATGATGTCATGTGTTATAAAGGCATATCATATAGATGTGGCCAGAAATCCTTGCATATCAATAATTCTGTAGTTTCTCTGGCTTATTTTGTCTCTAGCCTTTAAAAACTAAGCCTCCCATGGAGAAATCAAGACAGCTCACCACAGGCCACTTTCCAGGTACCAAGGCTCCTGCTTTCTTGCTTTATCCTTCTATACAAGCTGCCCAAGATAAAGGATGTACCTTATTCATCTTTGTATCTCCGACATCAAGTCCAGGGCCTGGCCCATGGTAATATGCATCTGGTGAACTGAATTGAAAGCTTCCTATTCTTCTTTCTCTTTTGTCTCCTACCTCTATGATGGCATTCTTGTCTGCACATCCATTAGTGGCAAAGTAGACACATAAGGATGGGAGAATGTGTATAGAATATGGGCTCAGATCCAACCTTGCTTCCACCATTTATTCACTGTGTGATTTTGAAAAAGAGAGACTAGTGAATGTTTGAGGGACTTCAAGTTTGACTGAAATGTATATATGGAGAAAAAAAAGTGGTGAGAAAAGAGACTAGAGAGGCAGAATAGAGTCAAAGTGTTAAATTCCAGGCCATAGTGTTGGGGAGGCTTTGACCAGTCAAGAACCAGTAAGGAGTAGAATATTGGAGGAGAGAATGGAGGGAGGGAGTCCAGCCAAAAGACCAGGGGAGTAATTTAAGTGAGAAAGACAAGGGCCCAATTAAGGGCCTGATAGAGATGAACAAGAATCAATGTTAAGGAGGTATAATGGGCAGGATTTGGTTAAATGGTTAGGACTGATTAGATGTGCATAGTAAAGAACATTTTGAGTTATAATCTGAGACGGGTCCTATAAATAGGTGGCAGAGAGGCCAGTTTCCCATTCTCCCAGGCATGTGACCTGCTGCTTCCCCACTCTTTATTTCCTGGAAGCCCCTTGAGCCATCATCCCAGAGTGGGAAATAGATTGAGGCTCACCAAATCCCTCCTGACTTCCCCAGTGGGAGAAACAGAAGAAAAGGGGTCGAACATTTGAATGCCACCTGTAAAGGCTGCCTGAAGCAAATCCTTTGTGTTTACATTCTGCATAGTTTTGCCTTCATGATGAGTGGATATTAGAAGAGAGGCAGCTAAGATGGTAGGGCTAAGGAAGAGAAAACTGAATAGTAAATTGTGATCACTTCACTTTAAAAAAATGGTTGACAATGACAAATGACATTCTTAATGCTGCCATGAGAGTAATATTTCTAAATACAAATATAGCCATGTCACTTCCCTGCCCAAGAACATTTGATGCTCCACACAGACTAACTATAGCAGTGGTGTCCAACAGAACTTTCTACAAACATGTAAATGTTCAATATCTGCTCTGTCCAATATGGTAGCTACCAACCACATGTGGCGTTTGAGCACTTGAACTTGAAATGTGACTAGTGCAATCTAGGAAATGGATTTTAATTTAAATTTTATCTTAAATAGCCATATGTGGCTAGTGGCTCCCTATAGTAGCCTATAGGATCAAGTCCAAACTCTTGAATAAGACCTACTGAGGGGCACCTGGCTGGCTCAGTCAGAGGAGCATGCAACTCTTGATCTCAGGGTCGTGGGCTTGAGCCCCACTTTGGGTGTCAAGATTACTTAAAATAAATAAATAAGACTAAAAAAAAAAGAAAGACTAACAATGAGAAAAATCTTAAAAAAAAAAACATACTCTTTACTCTCTACTCCTACCTACCTATCCAGCTTCATTTCCCACTCTTTTCAACAGAATATTAGTCCCAGTCAAAACAAATTTCTATAATTCTTTAATCATGACATACTCTATCATATCTTCATATCTCCCTGCCTTTGTACCTCAGTTATTTTTGCTGAAATGACCTTTCTTTACTCACTCACCTGGAAAATCCCAACTCCTCTTTCAGAACACAAGTCAAATGTTACCTTTTATATTTAGCCTCTTGCATCCACTTCACAGAAATGGTGTGGTCCCTGTGGTCCCTCCACTGTGCTTACACAGCCCCCTTTTCATGCCCTCAACACAGTGTATCATAACTATTTGCTCACTTGTATATCTTGCCCACTAGATTGTGAGCATTTTTAAAGGAGTAATTTTTTTTACTTCAAAGATTGACCAAAGATATTATTGTGTTTATTGTTTTGTACTTTTCAAACAACTTACATGAATGTTACGCAATTTTAGCAAAGTTATGATAGGTAAGTTTTCTCACTTTGTAGATAAAAAAACCAAGGGGAAGAAGATAGATGGCTTGCCTAAGCTTAAAAACTTATACATGGCAAAAAAACAGGGTAATGTATATTTCTAGCTCTGGATGTTCCTTCTGATGATCAACAACACCAAAACCAAATTAGAAGCTCTGAGATCCTCCAATTGCCAACCCTAAATCTCAAACCAACACTTGGTAAACTGGCATTTACACAGTACACATGAATTTGGGCCACAAGCAACTTTACTGAGGAACTAACAATGAAGTCAGTCTTTTCCCAGATAAGAATGGAAGCTAAATGCACTGAAACGCCAACGTCTTTCACGTTGTAAATTTCCCCGTCCCCCTCCAGACAGATGTTTCTCAATATTTACTTTGTCTTTTTTTTAAAGATTTTTAAATTTATTTTTTATTTTTTTAAAGATTTCATTTATTTGACAGAGAGAGAGAGAGCACAAGCGGCGGAGGAGGGGCAGGAGAGGGAGAAGCAGGCTGAGCAGAGAGCCCAGTGTGGGGCTCATCCCAGGACCCTGGAATCATGACCTGAGCCAAAGGCAGACGTTTAACAACTGACCCACCCAGGCGCCCCAAGATTTTTTTTATTTTTAAGTAGTCTCTACACCCAGTGTGGGGCTGGAACTCACAACCCTGAGATCAAGAGTCACACTCTGGCTCTACCGACTGAGCCAGCCAGGTGCCCCAACTTCATCTTATACTTAGTCCTGAGCAGCGTATTCTTAAAGGAGTATTCTTCATTTTTCTCTGTATCCCAATACTTTGGCACAAGTCATAGAACATAATTAGGTTCCAATAAATATTGAATGAAATAATGAATGAAAGAATATTTAAAAGTTCTTAGAGGTAATTATGGAGTTTAGATTTTTCCAAGATTTTGCACCATCAAAAAAGCCTGGAGGAACTTTGCCTTTCTGGCTTTATTTTTACAAGTCAACCTTCTATAACAGCTTTAAAAAAAAAAAAGAAAGAAAAAAAACAACCCCGATCCAGTCCACAGCACAACCACATCAGAGAAAGCCTTAGGGAAGAAGAGAGAATAAAGGGAGGCCCTTTTGAAGAATATGTTTGATCTCAGATTAAACTTCCTTTAAAGTAATAATTCTATGGCACCCTATCATAAAGTTCCCCAAAGGTGCCAAATAGTTCTAGTTTATGGCTAAAATAAAAATATATGCATTAAACTCCCTTCAATTGAGAGCTATTTTAGCTTCAGTAGAACTTTTCTGCTTCTATTTTTTGGTATGGTTTTGGTACAAAGAAAATCATACTTACAAGGAAAAAAAAAAAAAAAAGATAAAAGGCCAGAGGTGAAAGAGAGCTGGCTACCAAAGAAAAGCCAGAAAGGAATGATGCTGACTCCACAGCCTGTACTTAACCAGGAATTCTCTGCTTGTGCAGGGTTGGGCCCAGAGAGCAGGGATTGCCTAACCCTGGAGAAATGGAGAAAGGATGATGAAAGAGGCTGCAAGAGGGAAGCTCAAGTGGTTAGTGAGATCACAGAAGGCTGTAAGAAGGGAGGTTACAAAGAACCACTTACGAGGCAGCTAGGTATGCAACTCAGTCAATCTTTCCAGAAGCCCAGAACCTGTGTTCAGGTTGGTCCAACCCAGCCTCTAGCACAGGGATACTGGGAAAGTACCTGCTGCACAAAGCTCCTCCAGCACAGGGACACTGCAATACTTGGACACTGGGAGGCTATCTTCTTCCCCCTCCTTCTATAGCTTGCTCCATTACTCGACATTAGAAAAGCTTTTCTTATGGTGTAGGAAGAATCCTTTGTGTTGCTGCTATCCAAGCCCCAGATATCGAATGTATACTGGAAAAAAAAAAACAACAACAGAAAAAACATAATTTCACTCTAGTAAATTACTCATAGTCTCTAGTGTAATACTCCTGCTTGGCATCTTGGGATTAGGAGACACAGGTGCAGATTTTACAAGATCATGATGTGGGGGAAAATAAGAATCATGATGTGGATGCAAATTTTGAAATAAATTCCTCAGAAGAGAGTATTACCTCCTTGACCTACTGAGATAGGAATTTTTAACTTCCATCTTCTCCAACTATCCTATGTCTTTTTTTTTTTTTAAAGATTTTATTTATTTATTTTGAGAGAGAGAATGAGATAGAGAGCATGAGAGGGGGGAGGGTCAGAGAGAGAGGCAGACTTCCCGCCGAGCAGGGAGCCCGACGTGGGACTCGATCCCGGGACTCCAGGATCATGACCTGAGCCGAAGGCAGTCGCTTAACCAACTGAGCCACCCAGGCGCCCTATCCTATGTCTTTTTTAAAAAGACTTATTTATTTATTTATTTGAGAGAGAGAGAGAGCATGCATGTGCATGTGAGCCGGGTGGGGGGGGTGGCGGCAGGCGGGTGGGATAAGCAGACTTCCACTGAGCAGGGGGCTCCTTCCAGGACACCAGGATCATGACCTGACACTTAACTGACTGAGCCACCCAGGTGCCCCTCCTCTCTTATGTCTTTATTTGAATGCCTTATCCTTTTTACCTCTACTTTCACAGCCTTCTACCTGAACTACTGTGCTGGCCTTCTAATCTACAAACCTTCAGTCTCATCCCCATTCCAGTTTATTTCCAAAAGCAGTCTTCCTGAAGCACATATTATGAGGATTATGATTTAACAAACAAAATAAATCAAACAAAACCTTCCATAACTACTTACAGCCCTCTCTAATTTAACAACACACTCTTTACCTTGACATTCATTGCTCTCATGATCCATCTCCAATTTACCATTCTAACCACTTCTGTCACATACCCATTGCTCCTACTACACTGATAACTCTGTTCAACATATTTTCCTATCCTGCAGATTATACTAAATGTTCACATTTAAGATTACTTTCCTATGGTAGCTATCATGAAAAGCAGAATTAGTTCTAGATAGATTTATTTTGAGACTTTTGATGCGTTTCGCCAAACTTTATTTCAGAGGCATCAAATCCTCTTGTTGTCACATCTTCACAAGCATTGCATATTAATATATTTGAAAACTTTCTAAATTTGGTAAGTAAAAAATTATATTTAAAAAATCTTGGGGCGCCTGGGTGGCTCAGTCATTGGGCGTCTGCCTTCAGCTCAGGTCATGATCCTAGGGTCCTGGGATCAAGCCCCGCATCGGGTTCCCTGCTCCACGGGAGGCCTGCTTCTCCCTCTGCTTCTCCCCCTGCTTGTGTTCCCTCTCTCGCTGTCAAATAAATAAACAAAATCTCAAAAAAAAATTTTTTGTCAATGGATAAAGAAAATGTGATATATATATATGTTATGTATAATTATTATTCAGGCATTAAAAAAAAGGAAATCCTGCCATTTGTGGTAACAGATTGACTGCTCAGTGAAATCAGTCGCACAGAGAAAGACAAATACTATATGATCTCACTTATACAGAGAATCTTAAAAAACAAAACATCCCAAAAAACAAACTCATAAATACAGAGAACAGATTGGTAGTTGCCAGAGGCAAGGGTGGGTAGGGGGATAGACGAAATGGGTAAAGGTGGTCAAAAGGTACAAACTTCTAGTTACAAAATAAGTAAGTCCGGGGGAATGTAATGTATAACCCGGTGACTATAGTTAATAATACTGTCTGTATATTTGGAAGTTGCTAAGAGAGTGTATCTTAAAAGTTCTAGTCATAAGGAAAAACATTTATAACTATGTGTGGTGATGGACGTTAACTAAACTTATTGTGGTGATCATTTCACGGTATATACATATATTGAATCATTGTTATATACCTGAAACTAATATATTATGTTATATATCAATTATATTTCAATAAAAATAAATCTTTGTGAATTGGTAGTTCATAAATTCTGTTTTCCTTTTTGGTTTTTAGTATGGCTGAACTTTCTCCCATGCTTTGTTATCCAATTGTATTTCCTTTATGAATTGCCTGTTCATGTCTGTTACCTATTTATCCTTTGGGGTCTTAATACTTTCATTCCTGCAAGCTCAGCCTTTTATACACACTCTTACATTTTAGGAAGCAGCTTATGTTCAAGGAAAGAGCACCATACTAGAGAACATGAAAAACTACCATTATGTGACAAGGAGCAAGTAGTTTCTATTTTATACACCTCAAATCTGTACCCAAATCTATGTACCCAAATCTATAAAATGAGGGTGATGCAATAGAGGCTCCAGGATCAAGGAAAGGTCAAGTGAAGGGGGCTACCCTTCAAAACTCCTGATTTCTGCTTTATCTAGAAGAGCTTCCTTTTTATCCATTGTCATATATGTGTGTGTATATATATAAAATATAAATATATAATATAGTATGTGAATTATATAAATATATAATTGTATATATGTATAAATTACATATATTATATATGTGTGTGTATATACATATACACAGATATATAAATTCCTAAAGCCCATCCATCTCTAATGGCCATGGATTCCTTTATTCTGCCATAGAGTGTAACCAGTTAAAGAACAATTCTGTGGTTATTTCCATTTTATAGATGAAGAAACTAAGGCTCAGTCCAAGTGAATAAATTATTCAAGTCTGGCTAAGAGGACCTTCCAACTCTGGATACTTCTACCTTTGGTGAAAGTTTGGATTTGTTTCTTCAGAATCCTTACCACTTCAAGGTATAATGATTCTGAGTTTCTCAAGACTGTAGAGCCTTAAGACTGCAAAGTTTCTGAAGGCTCTAAAATCTTCTAATTCTTGTTGAATAACTTACAAAGGGAAGGGAAGGTTGTGGAATAGCCAGCTCTTAGCTAGCTCCCCTCTACCTGCCCCACGTCCAACTGGCTATTTATTCACTTGAAGTTCCAAATGTTTAAGCGACCATGGGGGAAATATGAAAATTATAGTTCATTCATTCATGGAATAGTTTATGCTATGCATAGAATTAAAATGACAAAGAAAAATACTTAGTATGTAACAAACAACAGATAACTTTATGCAACATTGTCCTAATTGTGTTAAAATAGATACACAGTGGGGGAAAAAGGGGGGAAGAATGACAAACGGTAATCTTGATTCTGGTAGTGGGATACGTCATTTAAAAAAAAATTTTACTCCTATCTTTTAAATTATTTTTTATTTTTATAATCAGGGAAAAAAATGTTTTAAGTTCAAAAGTGTGAGGACACACCTGGAGCCGTCAATTTGTCTCAGAGTTGGGATGTGGAGATGAGTCATCTTAAAAGGAGAGCGAGGGGACAGCGGGGCTTTGACTAGGGCTGCCTTTGAAAGGGAGGGACAAGCACTAGATAGGGTGAGGACTGATCAACTCAGCCGGAGTTCAAACCGGAAGCGCTGACGGTGGCACCCTACCGGGCAAAATCCAGCCGCAAAAGCCGGGAATAACGTGGCAGCCGCAACTCGACCTCAAGGCCAGCCAGACCCAAACCACCCCCACCGCCCTCCAGCCGACGCCCTGGCTAGTTCCCGCCCCTTACCTCTCCCCATTGGTCGGCTGAAGCTTCTTGGTTTCCGGGGCCCGCCCCTCTGGGGCCTGCGAGAGGTGGGACGCTCCCTCCCCCACTTCCACAGGGGCAGCCATGCTGAGAGTGGCGGGCGGAGGAGGGTGGGACTGTTGGCTCTTTCCACCACCGCAGCCGTACTCTCCCAGTGTTTCTCCGCCGCGCGCTAGGGGGACCCAGTGGAAAGAGTGATTTACCACTTGGGAGCTGGGCGTTTGAATGAAGTGCTGATGTTTCCTGCACTGTCTCCAGTTCCCTGGAGGCAGGTGGCTTTTAGTTTTCTAGAGGTGATGTCATCACAAAACCTTTCCAAGGTCCTAATGCCCGTGGTTAGGACCTCAGAGCCATTGAAAATCACAGATCCTTAGAGATAGGATGACCATATAATTTATTGTCCGACCTAAATAGCTTTGAGACCCTAAGAGGATGCTATTAATAATTACGATTGGCACAACAGTCATAACTGTGGGCTGTTCTGGAACTTAAATAGCCACCCTGGTCCCAGGGCCAGCTCTTTTTTTTTTTTCTTTTTTTGAATTGTGGTAAAGGTATTTAACAAAATTTTTCATTTTAATCATTTTTAGGTGTATAATCCAGTGGCATTAATTTTATTCACAATGTTGTGCAACTTTCATCATTATTTCCAAAATTTTTCATCACCCTAAATGGAAACTACCCATTACCCACTCCTATTAGCCCCTGATACTCTTTATTCTCTTTTCTGTTTCTTTGAATTCACCTATTTTTGATATTCACATGTCCTAAGTGGAAAATTATGCACTTTTCTCCTTTTGTGTTTACCTTCTTTTAGCATGATGTTTTCAAGGTTCATCCATGTTGTAGCTTGTATCAGTACTCCATTCTGTTTTATGGCTGAATAATACTACATTGTATGGATATAACACATTTGTTTATTCATTCATCAGTTGATGGGCACTTGGGTTGTTTCTACCTTTTGACTATTATGAATGCAACTATAAACACTTTCATTCAAGTATTTGACTCTGTGCTTTCAATTCTTTTGAGTATATATACTTAGGAGTGGAATTGCTGGATCATATGGTAATTCTCTGTTTTAACATTTTGAGGAAATGCTGTGCTATTTTTCACAGTACCTGGACCATTTTATATTACCACCAGCAATGTATGAGGGTTCCAATTTCTCCAACACTTGTTACTTTCCTTTTTTTGTCTTTAGTTTTTATGGCTATCCCGGTAGGTGTAAAATGTTACCTCACTGTAGTTTTGGTTTGCATTTACCTTATGACTAATGATGTTGAGCACCTTTTCTAGTGCTTATTGGTCATTTTTATATCTTTTCTGGAGAAATTTCCATTCAGGTCCTTTGCCAATTTTTGAACTGTTGAATTGTAGTTTTTTAATTTTTTTAAAAGTTATTTATTACTATTGCAAATATTTTCTCTCATTTTGTGGATTGTCTTTTCACTCATTTTAGTGTCCTTTGATGCACAAAAGTTTTTAATTTTAGTCAAATCCAATTTATCTATTTTTTTCTTTTGTTGTCTGTGCTTTTGGTGTCATATTTAAGAAACTATTGCCAAATGCAAAGTCATGTGGCCCATCTCACTTTACAGATGGAGAAATTGAAGTGTACAGGGGGAAAAGCCTGAGTACTCAAGGTCACTCTAAGTTAATAACAGCTGGGACTAAAATCTGAGTTCTTTTTTTTCTTTCTTTTTTAAAGATTTTATTTATTTATTTGAGAGAGAGCGAGAGAGAGAGCATGAGCAGGGTGAAGAGCAGAGGGAGAAGCAAGCTCCCCGCTGAGCAAGGAACCCGATGCAGGGCTCGGTTCCAGGACCCCAAGATCATGACCTGAGCCGAAGGCAGATGCTTAACCGACTGAGCCACCCAGGTGCCCCTAAAATCTGAGTTCTATTCACAACCAGTGATAAATAAAAGAAAACACACACTTAAAAAAAATCATTGAGTGGAGTTTTACCTTCAGTAATAAAATAATAGAATAGAATCTTTAGGACAACTTTGCTCTTAGACTAAACAGAAAAGGCTGTATATATAGTTCAAATTATTATGATAATAGACAACTCTGATTGGATAATTTGGGGGTCAGTATTAAACAAACAAATGAAAGTTGATGTCTTTGATAAACAGGATCCTGGCTTACTTCAGGACATAACGTCTATAGAATGGCACTTTAATTCATAGCCTGGGAAACTAGGATTTAGAAATCTAAATCTGAGGCGCCTGGGTTGCTCAGTGGGTTAAGCGTCTACCTTCAGCTCAGGGCATGATCTCGCAGTCCTGGGATTGAGCCCACATCGGGCTCCCTGCTCAGCGGGGAGTCTGCTTCTCCCTCTCC